ACTTTACAAATTTCATGTCAGTTAAAGAAAAAAGGTAATTATAGTGACTCATATTGGAGTATTACAATAGTAATTTTTAAGTGACTTGTCAAAAAAAGTGACAAAAAGTGACTTAAGTGACTGAATGGCAGCGCTGTTAAACATCTTCAAGAAATATAAGTGTTGGTTTGAAGGAATTATTAGTTCAATCACAATTTTGAGTGCTTAAAAGGGCCGGACGGCGTGTCCAAATTAAAAGGATCAAATTTCTAATCAAACAAAGTTTATTTTTAAATGTCGATCCTTTCCCACTTTATCAAAAACTTCATCAATTCCAAAATCCAATCGAAATCCATCCAGACATAAAAACATTTTCCAAAAAAAAAACTTTATTAATAACAGAAGTAATAAAATTGATTGTAGTAAAGATAAACCTTTTCTACATCATAGACTAATTAAAATTGAATATCAAATTAATTATCCCAATTTTAAATTATTAAAAGAAGTTGTGGAGATGTGCGTATTCGTTTTATAGTTTAATTTGTTCCACTACCCCTTTTTATCATTAAGGATATTTTATTTTGATGTTCATGTAAACAGGTCAATATGTTGGTATTCTGTTATACCCGCTGAGCGTCTCTTTAGGTTGGTATACATTATTCACTATTTTCTCGCGGGGCGACGCACTTGGTTTTTTTTACCGTGATCCCCGCCTTCTTATTATTATTCGCGTGGTAATATTCGTATGTAACAATAAGGTTATAATAAAGGTTTAAGTATATTACAAATCCCGTCCGGATCTATTCAAATACCCAACAGAAGTGATGCTCGTTGTCTAAAACATAAAATTCAGTACTTATTCTGTTAAACCGCGCAACCTTGTCCAATCCCGGGTAAAGTACTTAAATATATTTACCCAAAAACGGACACTCATTTCTTAATTTAAAGCAACTGTTCATGACATAAATTTTGATATTAGCTCTTGATAAATACATTGATTTTTGGAATCCTTGTGTTAAATGTTGTCTGTAATGTTATAAAAAAAACATTTTCCTAATAAATTATAAGTTTTTTTAACACAATATTAATAATGAAATGCATTGCTTACAATGTAAATGCAATATATCTTCAATTTATAGCCATTCATACATATTAAAAAAACATCATTTTCAGGTTACTAAATATAACTTTTCATAAATATATTTTACTAAATATAAATTTTTTGGATAGCCGATACTTAAACCATTTTTTCTTTTGTAGTTTGGAGTGTTAACTTCAAGTTAAACAATTAAAACATAGTTTTTCTTTAAATATTTTTGTTTCAAAGTTTTACATTTTTGTATGAAAAAGTGCATTTTATTTCATTTTATTAATTATATTTAGTTATAATTGTTATAAATATACACCCAGTAAGCAATTTGCCAACAATTTGGTGCCGATTTGATATTAAACTCGCTCAAAGTTTGGTAGCAAATCCGTTGTCAACTATGTCAGCAATAAGCTTGTGTTTTGCATGTAAAGCTTGCGTTACAAAACTAGGCAGCAAATTGGCATCAAATTGGCATCAAATTGGCAGCAAGCTTTGCGTAGCACTGTTTGAGGACAAATTGGCACCAAATTGACAGCAAGTTTTGCGTAACGCTGTTTAACGACAAATTGACTGTAAATTGATAACAAACTTTGCGTAGCGTTATTTAACGACAAATTCACGGCAAAATCCAAGCAAGATTTGATATCTTGCAGCCATTTAAATGGTCATTGACCCTTACAGAAGTATAATATTGGCAGTATTAAATTGGACAATGATTAATTACTTAATTTAAGTATTAAAAACACAGTTAGTGTTTTCAATACTAAAAAAATTATTAATCACTGGCAATTTAATAACGACAGTAATATATTTTTGTAATGGAAACCGGTACTTGACACTGTTATCAAGATTGATTTTCTTTATTCTTATTTAATCGACAAGTTAAAATCAAGATCTCAAAAAAAGTATTATGCTTTCATCTTGGAGCCCTTGAGGGAATCATATTATATGCTCCACTTAAAAAAAATTATTTCATTAAAACACAACTGAAAAATCTTTCAATGCTACGTCTTTTATCCTAGTCTGTGTGGTTTCTTAAATTCGAAAAATTTAACTCGTTAATGTCCGCGAATTTTGTCGTGAATTTGTCGTCAAATAACATTACGCAAAGTTTTCTGTCAATTTGCTGTCAAACAGTGCTACGCAACACTTACTGTCAATTTGGTGCAAACTTGTCCTTAAAGAGGTAACGTGCTACGTAAAGCTTACTGCCAATTTAGTGTCAATTTATATAAATACATTTACTCGTATTTTGTTGTTAATTTGCTGCCAAATTGTAACATCAAATTTTGTTACATATTTGTTGGCAAATTGCCGACATTATGATATATCAAATTTTGCTGTCAATTTATATCCCTTTTGCTAACAAAGTTTGCAGCAAGATTTTACAAGATCTGTTTTCAGAAAATTTGGCTATCTGGGCAACTTTACAAATCTGTTTTCTAAAAATGCCAAAATATACGTAAAAATCGCTCAATAATCGCTTTATATACTTGTAAGAATGATGAAAATTAATCCAGAACAGGACTCAACGTGTGTAGTAAGAATGCCAAAAATTAAAGTGTACAATAAGGGTTAATTTTACACATGAAAAATCTGTGTCAGCTTTATTTTTATTCATTGTATAATACATCAGTTGAGCCTTTATACTTCATGTATTTTAAATATATATTAATGTATTTGTATAGTATATAATTACCCTGTACACAGGGTGGTCCATTTTAGTCCATCCAATAGAATATCTCCTTAAAACAAAAATGTTTTAGACAAAAGTTGTTCATTTACAAGAGGAGAAGATGATGCCCTTGATTGACCTTGAGAAAATGTCTCTAAAATTAGATTACCTAATATTTTTTGAATGGAATTATATATTTTTTTTTTTACATAATATGACTCCTCCAATCATTCTGCATATAAAAGTATTAAGATAGAAGTACGAAAGAGTCAAATAGTTTACAAGATATTTTATACCCTTAGGACACATATATGGACACGAAATATTAAATATCTCGTAAATTATTAATTTTTTAATAATCGTACCTTAATACTTTTATGAACAGAATAATTAGATGATTAATTGGTGTAAAGAAAATGCATTGCAGTTGCTTTAAAACTACAAGAATAATAAGAGAAAGGGCAATAGGAGTCGGACGCAGAAATTAATGCATAAAAATACAAAATGAATTGTAAAATCAATTTAATATATTAAAAATCTTCGCGTGCTCTCGAATACATAGTGTAAAATATGTAGCTGCTTAAAAATATGTAGGAAAATGGATAATTTTTTATATAAACTATGTGTTTTCTTTATATCAATTGATTCCTCTCATTATTTTATTTATAAAAATATCAAAAAATGATTGAAATCAATCATTGACAAGAAACAAAAAATTAACAGTTTATATTTTGTAATTCATCTATATTTGCCGGATTAAAGTATAAAATCTCATAAAATGTTGATTTTTTAATAATTTTACCGTAACATTTTTATATGCGGAATAATCAAAAGAAGTTGATACATCACATTTCAATTCAAATTATCAACATTATATGCATGAATTTACTTTTTCGAATTTTTGCTTCATGTTTCTCATCGATTAAAAGTTAAAGAATGACAAATTAAAAGAAATGAAAAGAAATAAATAGCTGTATCTCGGCACAAAAAAGAAATTCAGAGAAAATTTCGAACAAAATTAAGACTTATTGTAGAGCAACAAAAACCTGATGAAATGAGACCATGAATGATCGAAACAGCAAAATTTTTTTGAAATTAAAGATGCGTAGAAGATATAACAAGAATTAATAAAGATTTAATTCAATAATTTGAAGTAATTTTAAAAAATTATATCTTGTAAATATGAAATTAATACAGATGCTCTTAAAAAATTTGCAAAAACCGTATTTTTTTAATGAATTTGTATTAATTTCATATCCGCAAGGGATAATTTTTAAAATTACTTCAAATCTATGAATTAATTCTTGTTATATCTGCTATATTCTCAAATCTTTTTTCTCAAAAATCCAAAAAGCCGAACTATATAATTTATTAACTTTTATCTCTAGTATAATATAACATGCCAGCTAGTGTTCATAAAATCTTACACATGACTCCGCAATTATTTCTGCTGTATTACTTCCTATAGAGCAAATGTCAGAAGAAGCTCAAGAAAGAAACATTTAAAATAATTTAGGATACATTATACTCGCAAGATTTCGAAAAAAGATATCAACATTGATATTAACTTTCTATTAGCAACATCTGATATATTCATTTCTTTTCTCGGACAATTTCAGATAAAAAAAGAGAAAAAATTTTTTCAGTAAATGTCAACGCTTTATTAAATCTCAGAATCAACTTTCCAAATTGGTGCGAGTCAATTGCTGCGAATAATAGCGATGATGATGGCAAATAATTTGTGAATAATAAACATGACGTATATATTTTGTTTTTTTAAATTATTTTCAGTATAACAATCATTTCAAGCAAAATTGATTTAAAAAGTTTATTTAACATAAAAATAATTTTGGCTAGATTTAGAGGCTTTTAATACAACTATGCAATGTGTTCACGCAAAGCCTTTCCCCGCCCAAGCTGCACTTACCTATAAGTATGCAAGTAATATGGTATTTAAAAGTTTAAATTATAAAATTGAAACACATTTATATTGTCAACTTTATTTGTTAATAACTTCTTAAACTTCACTCGAATAACGAGTGACAGCTAAAACCTTCTAAAAGTCACTCATGAACGTGATCTTGACAATATATGCCAAGATCAAGGTTATTGGAGAGCTCTATTGGAGGGGTTCTCTTTTGTAAACTTTTAACCTCTGTATATGTATATACTTTGCATTACTCTTTGAAAGATCTGATAGAATAGGTAAAATATTAATGTATTTCGTTCAAAGTATATAGAGAAGTTAATTGTTACCTAAATATTATAGGATCCACATCAGGCTGATAATTAAGTATTCGAAGAGCTGTTAAGACGTATATAGAATTTTCTTCTAGCGAATTCAATTTAAAATCGGTATCCGAATCATCTTGTTGCTGTATCTTCATCAGAACACTACATAATATCTACGAGAAAATGTATGAAATTTTTCGAAAATGTTACAATAATAAAATACCAGAGAAATACCTGTAATAAGTCTTCAGTGTTTAAGGTATTGAATTCGATTATACTGTAATTTCGTCCTAGTAATTTATTTACTTCTATCACAATAAATTTCACATTTTCACTCATAATGAAGTTTTCTATAGCTGTTTCGCACTTGGTTTTCTAAAAGTAAAAAATGCGTTTCGAACTTGCCAAATATTCGTGTAGCACTACGATGCGCTACAAACGTAATATGTCCAAACTAACGGACGTTATGGCTGCGGTTGCCTCGACAACAAAGCATCAACAGTATTGATATATTCAATTAGCACATGTATTCAATACCTCTTGCAATATCAATTAAGGAATAAAGGATATATCTCGGATTTCTATATATACAATAATAAAACAAACATACAATTATATATATATATATATATAACAAAATACTTTATTAACATTGTTGTACCAATATGTTATAGCGCGTAAATATATCATAGTTTAATTAAAAATAATAATATATCTTGCGATATAATATGAATTATATACAGGGTATCCTCAAATTCGAGGATAATATTATGACAGCGTGAAACTTCGTAAAAAATTAAGTAATAAAAGTGCAAATAATTTTTTTTTATAAAGTAATTTTTTAAAGATAGATTAGGCGTATATAATCCTTGCGAAGAAAATTAAATTTGGAAGTATATTTAATAGTTACACTTCAAATAAACTATATACATATGAAAGTTGTGTGAATAAGATTATATTTTTGTTTAATAACACATTTTTGTAGTTTATTTATTTTATTTATTATTTTTATTGTTAAAAATTAAAATTTTATAAAAGATAAAAAATTTATATTTTTTTCATAAGTACATACTTTAAATATTCAAAATAATTTATGCAAAGTTTCATTGGAATTCACTGATTAGTTACAAAGATATAGGACAAATAAATATTTTGTTTACTTATTGGACAACTAATTTATGCATTGCAATGTAACTCTACGTAAATAATCTTAAATATATAATGTACTTATACTTAAAAATTGAGATTTTTATCATTTATTTTATAATACATTTCCATATACTTTTATTAGAGAACAGATTTAAAAAATACTGCTATTTATTAAAACAACTTATGATCCGGATAGTAAACCGTCACCAAATTTATAATATTATTTTTAAACGTGATTTAAAATAATCTGTAATTTCTTCATAATTTTGTTATCATTTTGAAAATATGTATAAAACATTCTAAGTATAAACGTTTAAATTTTGACTAATCATAAGCGTTGATTAAAAAATTATCTGTCCGTGTGATAATGTACACGCACCGGCAGGAATGGTGTCCCCCGGCGTTCGATGCGCGGCGCTACACACTCGTACCGAAGCGCACACGTACATGTTACCTTGAGCGCGGAGACGAGGAGTGCGAAGGGAGAAAGTAGTGGGGGGCGCTCCGATATTCTGTCCTTAGCGCAAGGCGCACGATTGAGAGAGAAAGCGTAATTGGACGTGATGCCGGCTCGTGGTGTCCTTTCGCTGTCTCACACATTGTTACTAGTACGAGTGAGATATGTACACCGGCGTCTCTCGCCAATATTAATAATAATATTTTTATTATGCACAAAATGTTGTATCTCTAGTCATTAAGTTGATGCCTTTTGGAGCCAAACACAGGATGTCGTTGTGCAATAAGATTTATTCATTCCAATTTCTTGTACAATTGTCTTCTTACGTTTCGATACAGATTCGGATCCTTTTCAATGTACGAACTCATTGAGTTACCCGAAGCACTATACCACAAACAAGTTCTTGTTAATATAATTAAATTAAAAATTAAAATTAAAATTAGAATGTAGATACAAATAGAATAAGTTTAACAGTTTAAACGGAAGAAAGGATAAAACTTACATGATATTCATTAAAATAATAAAATATACATGTCATCTATGCTAGCGTTGAGATATATCTAAACAAATTAATGTCAAACACAAATCACCAACCAAAACACAAATAATAGATATATTGAAGAGAGGAAACTTCAGTTATTTTCAAATAAGAAGTCATATGCTTTAGTTAATGACTCCGTGTTTGATTGGATATTTAAACCATTCTTTTGTTTGCGTATAAAAATCATTTCCGATATGAGTCTTTTATTTAAAATTTGTTCTTGGTCTAGAATCTTAACATTGTCCCAATCAAAATCGTGTATTCTAATCGATGTTCTAATCAATGTTGTATGATGACCGATCTTTGGTCTGTATTTCAATTGATATAGTTTCTATGTTCATTAATTCTGGTTTTGAGGGTCCTTCCCGTTTGACCTACGTATGATGCATCACAGTCCTTGCACTCAACCTTATAAACTACGTCAGTGTGCATCATTTGTGGAAGTTTGTCTTTCTGTACTCTAATATAATTGTTTAATTTATTGACACCTTTATACGCTATTTTAATGATGTTTGTCTTCTTTAAAAGTTTTTGATTTTCTCCGAGATACCAGCGATAAAAGGTACTGTAAAGAATTTCTGTTTCTTTTTTACTTCTTTATTAACAGTTTAATTGTTCTGAAGGCTATTCCATTCACAGAATTTCTTATGTAGTCTTCTATTTATGGTGGAGAAAATCAAGTTGAGAGGGTAACCATTGGATAACGGATAATAATTTCATCTATTGGAAGTCCTTTGCATAATCTGTCATGCTTTTTGCATAAAATTATAGTTAAAAGTTTGTCCGCAGCAAAGAGTTCATTAGTAACAGCTTTCAAAAACAAGCTTGCCAAAAATCTGTATAAATTAAAAATCTCTAATGACGATACTCTTTTTTCGTTAGATATGGTTTCTTTGTTCACAAACGTTCAAAAGGATTTAGTGTTGGATGGTATTAATAATAGATGGCATTTGATACAGGTTAACACATGTTTATCTAAGACAGAGTTTCTTAATGCGATTAAATTAATTCTTGACTCCACATTTTTTACATTCAATGACAAATATTATAGACAATCCTTTGGACTTCCCATGGGCTCTCCATTATCTCCGGTAATTGCAGACATAGTTTTGCAAGACTTAGAGATATTTGCCTTTAATAGATTGATGACAGAACCTTCATTTTATATACGTTATGTAGACGACATTGCATTAGTAATTAAGGGGTAACACCACTTTGCGACTTCAAAAAAATCGATTTTTTTTTTATTAGCTTAAAACCTTCCTTAAACTCCTCTAGAATAAGAAAAAAAATGTCTCATGGCCATAAAAATTCTCGTACCGGTCGTTTACGGCAATTTGCTGAGGTATTAGCAGCCTAATGAAAGTTATAAAAGCTTTAGACATGACTATTGGAACAAATTGTTACAATTTCTGCGTCGAGGCAGACCAACACCGTATTCACTTATCGGACCGATCTTTGACTGAGGCTGCAAAACAAGCTCGAATTGCTTCAAAATCGACCAGAAAAGAAGAAGAAGAGCTCAATATAAATTTGGAAGGTCAACTTTATGGCGCAGGCATCGCAGATTAAAGGTATATTTTAGTTATTGATCTTAAAATGTTTAACTCGCTTTTTCTTGAAACAACGTTTTTCAAAACGGGCGTACTCCTAGCGCCTACAAATCTTTATCGATTGCTTTGAAATTTTTATGGTATCTTCTCACATATATAATCTACTGAACCACGTAGGGATTTTACGATAAATTATAAACTTTTTTTTTATAAACAATTTAGTATGACATTTTTATGCAAAAAATCAATTTTTTTTTCAAATGCTCGCCATTTTCTTAAAAAACGATATTTTTTCCCCTATATGGTTCAGTAGTTTATAACACATATTAAAGAAAACATTTCAAATTTTGTTCCAGGTTCAAATCTGGAGGCGGTACTGGTACGCCCGTTTTGGAACCCGAAAAAATCGGACCTTCGAGAATGGACTCTGAAGCCGCCATTTTGTAATTAAAAAATGAAAAAAAAAATTTTTTTTACACATCAAAAGACACTTCATAAAGTACTTCATAAGAAAATTCAACTGCTTTTACTGTACGCTTGAAAAAAATTCTCTATATTTGTCTTTTTTTTTGAGGCGCAAGGTGGTGTAACCCCTTAACAAAACACACATTAACGATTTCTATCTTACCTTTAATAGCTCCACGTCTTAAATTTACACTGGAGGAGGGAGGTGACAATCTCAATTTTTTGAACTCTGATTAGAATGAAAAAGAATGACTCCATATCGCATGACTGGTATCAGAAACCTACATCTTCTGGACGTTATCTTAATTATTTTTCTCAACATCCACTATACCAAAAAATTGGAGTGATAGTGAGTTTAATACTATAGATAGAGTTCTAATATTGTCACACACACACATCCTCCATTTCATACAAAAAACTTAGATAAAATTATCAGAATATTATTGAGCAATGGTTACCCTCTCAACTTGATTTTCTCCACCATAAATAGAAGACTACATAAGAAATTCTGTGAATGGAACAGCCTTCAGAACAATTAAACTGTTAATAAAGAAGTAAAAAAGAAACAGAAATTCTTTACAGTACTTTTTATCGCTGGTATCTCGGAGAAAACCAAAAA